CTGCCAAGCGGAAAAAGAACAGCGGAGATCTCATGTCGGCATGTGCAATTTTATTTGAGTTTTGTGAACCGTGAGGGAGAGAGGAGTGTCGTGTCGTTCGTCGTTTTATGTTTGTGGTTTATATGGGATGTTGTTTATGTTTGATGTGTACTCCCATATATTTTAGTTTATAGTTTTGACGTATATGTTTATGATACATATGCGCAGGCCGCGCACGTTGTGTAGGAGGGTCACCCTGTAGCTATAATGTTAGGTTTTTATATGTTTATATTTCAGATATATTAATATGAGTTTATGCGTATGCGTTTATTAGTTCGCTGTTTGGTTTGCGTGGTTTTATTGTATGCGTATGGGGTATAATCTATAATGTAGTGAATGTCCACCTTGAACTATTAAATCGGCAAATCAAAACAGATAAAAATTATTCTTTTTTCGGCAAATTGATGAAACTATTATCTCTTATTCAAAGAATATCTTTTGAGAAGAAGTAAAATAGAGTATTTCCTTAGGAAATAGTTTCAAACCCACGAAATAGGTTATAGACATATATAGACAATTTTTTTGGTGGAAGACAATCTATTGGGTGATCTCTTAGCTCGTCTCCTAGGTTTATTTCTTGGTCATGTCATATCCTGGTTATTCCCCAACAGCGTAAGCTAATGGGGTCTTCAGCCCAGAATAGCTCCGGTGTGCACTGGTGCAGTCCGAAGGGTGGGAGACTTTGTTGCAGAGCCAGGCGGCGTTCAACAGGGTTCGGGCGAAGGCTCCGGAGAAGGTTCCGGGGAAGCTTTGGTGCAGAGCCAGCAGGGTTCCGGAGAAGGTTCCGGAGAAGGTCTGGGAGGCTGTGGTGCAAAGCCAAGTCAGGTTCAACAGGGTTCCGGAGAAGGTTCTGGAGCCGGTCGAATTCCGGAGATGGTCTGGGAGGCTTCGGTGCAGAGCCAGGTCAGGTTCAGCAGGGTTCAGGAGAAGGTTCTGGAGGGTTCCGGAGAGGTTCTGAAGGTCTGGGAGGCTTCGGTGCAGAGCCAGGGGAGAAAGTTCCGGAGAAGGTCTGGGAGGCTTTGGTGCAGAGCCAGGTCACGTTCAACAGGGTTTCGGAGAAGGCTCCGGAGAAGGTTCCGGAGAAGGTTTCGGAGGCTTTGGTGCAGAGCCAGGTCAATTCAAAAGGGTTCTGGAAGAAGTTCCGGAGAAGGTCTGGGAGGCTTTGGTGCAGAGCCAGGTCAGGTTCAACAGGGTTCTGGAGAAGGTTCCAGAGAGGCCGTGGTGCAGGAGAAGGTTCCGGAGAAGGTCTGCGAGGCTTTGGTGCAGAGCCAGGTCAGGTGGGTCGGGGAGGCTTTGGTGCAGAGCCAGGTCAAGTTCAACAGGGTTCCGGAGAAGGTTCTGGAGAAGGTCTGGGAGGTGCAGAGCCAGGTTTCCAGAGAAGGTTCTGGAGAAGGTCTGGGAGGATTTGGTGCTGAGGTGTTTCCAGCGCTTGGCTTCGCAGCACGCTTCAGAAAGATTTGTAAAAATAAAACACTGCGGCTGCGGCTGTTGGGGATGCCGCCGAAGCTTATTTGGTTTCCTGCTTTCCTGGTCTCCTGGTTTCCTGGTCTCTTCGTTTCCCGAGGTTCTAGTTTCCGGGCGTCGTAGTTTCCTGGTTTCCTAGTTTTGATTTCGCAGTGCCAGTCTTGGCTTCCTTTTTGTTCCCCAAACAGTGTGTCCACACTGAGGGGTTCTTACGGTAGGTGTGAAGTGGTGCTTGATCAGGGTGCTCACTCTGGGCACCGGCATTTGTCCGGTAAATTTCCGTTGAACTTCCGCATAAAGTGGCTCTTGTGAAGCGTTGACAGGAATTTCGACTGCGCAGGCTCGCACACAGTGTGTGTCTGCGTTCTGGGCTGACTCTGGGGTGTGACATTTTACCTGTAAATTCCGACGAAAGTGGCTCTGGTGAAATGTTGACATGCATTTCGACAGCGCAGGCTCGCACAAAGTGTAATCCTAGGGTCTGGGGCGCGACATTCTGCCTATAAATGTCCGCATAAAATGGTTCTTGTGAAATGTTGAAGTGCATGTCGACTGCGCAGGCTCGCACAAATTTGGTCCTAGGCCTTGGGGCGCGAAATTTTTCTTGTAAATTTCCGTGTCAAGTGGCTCTTGTGAAATTTTGACATGCATTTCGACTGCGCAGGCTCCCGCAAAGGTGTGTGTCTTCCCACGTTCTAGGCTGACTTTGTGGCGCGGCAATTTTCTGGAAAATTTCCGTCTAAATCTTGTGAAATTTCGAAGTGCATTTCGACTGCGAAGGCTCGCGCAAAGTGTGGTCCTAGGTTCTAGGGCACAATTTTTTCTCCAACAGCGTAAGCTATAGTGGGGTCTTCAGCCCAGAATAGCTCCGGTGTGCACTGGTGCAGGCGCCGGGTCAGCTTCAAGGAGGTTGCGGAGAAGGTTCCGAAGGTTGGGAGGCTTTGGTGCAGAGCCAGGCCACGTTCAACAGGGTTCGGGCGAAGGTTCCGGAGAAGGTTCCAGGGAAGCTGTGGTGCAGAGCCAACAGGGTTCCGGAGAAGGTTCCGGAGAAGGTCTGGGAGGCTGTGGTGCAAAGCCAAGTCAGGTTCAACAGGGTTCCGGAGAAGGTTCTGGAGCCGGTCGAGTTCCCGAGAAGGTTTGGGAGGCTTCGGTGCAGAGCCGGGTCAGGTTCAACAGGGTTAAGAAGAAGGTTCCGGAGAAGGTCTGGGCGGCTTTGGTGCAGAGCCAGGTCAGGTTCAACACTCAAAAGGGTTCTGGAAGAAGTTCCGGAGAAGGTCTGCGAGGCTGTGCAGAGCCAGGTCAGGTTCAACAGGGTTCTGGAGAAGGTTCCAGAGAGGCTTTGGTGCAGGAGAGTTCCGGAGAAGGTTCCGGAGGGTGCAGAGCCAGGTCAGGTGGGTTGGGGAGGCTTTGGTGCAGAGCCAGCCAGGTCAAGTTCAACAGGGTTCCGGAGAAGGTTCCGGAGAAGGTCTGGGAGGCTTTGGTGCAGAGCCAGGTTATGTTCAACAGGGTTCCGGAGAAGGTTAGGCTTTGGTGCAAGCCAGGTCAGGTTCAACAGGGTTCCGGAGAAGGTTCTGGAGAAGGTCTGGGAGGCTTTGGTGCTGAGGTGTTTCCAGCGCTTGGCTTCGCAGCACGCAACAGAAAGATTTGTAAAAATCTTCATAAAAATACCACCGAAGCTTATTGTCTGTAAAAATCTTCATAAAACGTTTTTTCCTCACATCCAAGGGTTCAAAAGTAATGAAGGGTCACATGTTATACTAGTGGCGCTGATCTGTTCAATTAACATTGAGCCATTTCGAAAAAACCGTGAGTCAAAGAAGCTGAACTTGGCACCTGGCTTGGGAGTTACTTCCAATAGCGCTACTCTTAAATTTACTGGAGAAGAACCGCCATCCGGATTACTGACATTACGGATGCCAGAGCCCACAGTGGATCCCACAAACTATTGAAATCAGAGTAGGCCCATGATTTTGCGACAGAACATGCCTGAGTTCTACCAGGTTAGATTTGCGATGGATCCTACTTTGTCCAAATACTTTTTGCGATGGATCCTACTTTGTCCAACATCGCAAATCTAACCTGGTAGAACTCAGGTATGTTCTGTCGCAAAATCATGGGCCTACTCCGATTTCAATAGTTTGTGGGATCCACTGTGGGCACTGGCATCCGTAAGTAATCCGGATGGCGGTTCTTCTCTAGTAAATTTAAGAGTAGCGCTATTGGAAGTAACTCCCAAGCCAGGTGCCAAGTTCAGCTTCTTTGACTCACGGTTTTTTCGAAATGGCTCAATGTTAATTGAACAGATCAGCGCCACTAGTATAACATGTGACCCTTGATTACTTTTGAACCCTTGGATGTGAGGAAAAAACCTTATAAAATGGTTCTTACGAAACTTTGAAGTGCATTTCGATTACGCAGGCTCGCGCAAAGTGTGGTCCTAGGAGTCCTAGGTTTTTTGGGCGCGGCATTTTTCCTGTAAATTTCTGTAGAAAGTGGCTCTTGTGAAACGTTGACATGCATTTCGACTTCGCAGGCTCACACAAAGTGCGTGTCTGCGACATTTTTCCTGCAAATTTCAGTATAAAGTGGTCCTTGTGCAATGTTGACATGCATTTCGACTGCGCACGCTGGCGCAAAGTGAGTGTCTGCGTTCTGGGCTGACTTGGGGCGCGGCATTTTTCCTGTATATTTTTGTGAAAAGGAAGTGCATTTCGACTGCGCAGGTTTGCGCAAAGTGTGGTCTTAGGTTCTGGGGTGCGGCATTTTCGTGTAAATTCCGTATAAAGTGTTTTCTGTGAAATTTTGAGGTGCATTTCGCTTGCGGAGGCTGGCGCAAAGTGTGGTCCTAGGTTTTGGGCCATAGCATTTTTCTTGTAAATTTCCGTATAAATAAAGTGGCTCATGCTGGTGTTTTTGTTGTTTGTATGTAGACAAATTGGCGTGTTCTGATTTGAACCAGTTCCTGTGTTCAGAAATGATCCAGTTTTCGTGTTCCAAAATGAGCCGTCTACCAGCTAGAAAACCTAGTGAACCAGAGCTGCAGGACTACTCAGGGCAATCATGTCAATCGTGCCGTCCAGTGCCAAATTTCATTTTTTTCATTTTCTCATGGTCTTGTGTGTGATTTTGCATGGCAACTAACACAACGAACGTGTTTCCAAATATTTGTTTGTTATGAACAACATATTCTTGTCCCAGCTGATGAAATCAGTTGTGATAATTGCAATGGCAATATGTTTGCGTGTTCTGGACGTGTGGCAGTAGGATGAACGCAGACTAGCGAAACATGTCAATATAATGTATACATCAAACAAACTACGGTTGCAAAACTCACGACGGTGTGCCTACAACACATTGTCGACATTTGCCAAACATTAGTGTTTGTTTGGGAATGGGTTGGGCATTTGTTCGGAGAAACCCAATGTTTTGGAGAGGTCAATTGAAGTCAGTTTCTATCAACAAAACCCAGAATTATTCATGTGCCGCCAAGGAGCCGTTGTGAGGTCAAGATATCAAACAGATTGTCCGCATTTTCCGTTCTTAGCATGGCCGGTAGATATGTCAACGAGGCCAACGATAATGCGATTTTCAGGTGGATTGACTGACATGTTTGCACTTGTCACTTCATGTTTTGTCCCAGGACAGTGTAGAATCAGAACGTCCTCTCAAAGTTTGCGCAGAGGCGTGGGCATTTCAGTTGGGAATGCAAAATTGGATTCTTGAATTTGTCGGCAGGCTGGCAGGAAATGTGTGCGGAATATCCACCAATATCCTGTCTTGTCTGCAGAGCTGCGGGCACAGTTTGCAGACAATCGGAATTTTAGCAACTTTGGTCCAAAAAACAATGATTTGATTACTTTCTGATAAACATTTGAATTTCCCCGGCCATCGCAGCCTTCAAACAGACCACGACAGGAGCAAACGCATGAGGTCATTTTTTATTTTGGAGTGGGCGGCCAGTGGGCGTTCTTTAATGATCATGTTCATGTTCAATTTCCCGAGGTTACTGTGTATGTTGGCATATTTTGGCGATCTTTTGACAACATGAGATGAAGGTTCACTGAAATAGCCTTGCAAATCCACGACTGGCCATTTGGTCGCTTAAATTCGAAACCACTTTCCAAAACACGTGATGAAACAATTGCAATGCAATCAATCACACCCACCCAGCCGCGGCACACTCGCAAAATAGATCCGTCTGTGCATGCGTGCGTGCACGCACCCACAACGCCAACGAGCAGAGGTACTATTTTAAACACGTGTAAGTATGTGCACAGTAAGGCGTTTCCCAACTATGTGCATTTAGGATCATTTGCGTACCTCGTCTCAAAACATAAAATTGCAACATAAATGACGTGTGACAGACTGTGACAGAGTCCAAAACAATCTGAGGTGGATTGCACTGGTGGACTCCTTGAAGCAGCTGTCAAGATTGGTCTGCTGCTGAAATGGTGTAGATTTGCATTGCACAACATACATTCTGACACCTGTGCTCAGGTACAGCTTGAAGGAAGAATGCCAGCAAATCCAAAGGCCTTCAGAACCTTCAGAAATTTCCCCTGGGATTTCGGAAGAAACATATATGAACAAACAGTAGAAACGTGGTTTCAGAATTCGCACTGTTTGCATTGTGCACATTGTTCTGGGAAACTCGTTTTGGTGCCAAAGGTCTTGGAAACACGAGGCCGAGATCGAGAGTCTGAAGGTACTTTGTGGGACCAGGCCCTGACGTCTGCAATGTGCAATGCAAAATGAGCGATGCAAACATGAAATGCGCAAGAAACAACATTCAAACATATTCAAACATATTCAAACATATTCAAACATATTCAAACATATTCAAACATATTCAAACATATTCGAACATATTCAAACATATTACATATTCAAACATATTCAAACATATTCAAACATATTACATATTCAAACATATTCAAACATATTCAAACATATTCAAACAACATTCAAACAACATTCAAACAACATTCAAACAACATTCAAACAACATTCAAACAACATTCAAACAACATTCAAACAATATTCAAACATATTCAAACATATTCAAACATATTCAAACATATTACATATTCAAACATATTCAAACAACATTCAAACAACATTCAAACAACATTCAAACATATTCAAACATATTCAAACATATTCAAACATATTCAAACATATTCAAACATATTCAAACATATTACATATTCAAACATATTCAAACAACATTCAAACATATTCAAACATATTACATATTCAAACATATTCAAACATATTCAAACATATTCAAACATATTCAAACAACATTCAAACAACATTCAAACCCACCCCCACCCCAGAAGACCCCCCATCCCTATTCAAACATATTACATATTCAAACATATTCAAACATATTCAGACATATTACATATTCAAACATATTCAAACATATTCAAACATATTACATATTCAAACATATTCAAACATATTCAAACATATTCAAACATATTACATATTCAAACATATTCAAACATATTCAAACATATTCAAACAACATTCGAACAACATTCAAACAACATTCAAACAACATTCAAACAACATTCAAACAACATTCAAACATATTCAAACATATTAAAACATATTCAAACATATTCAAACATATTACATATTCAAACATATTCAAACATATCCAAACATATTCAAACATATTCAAACATATTCAAACAAGATTCAAACAACATTCAAACAACATTCAAACATATTCAAACATATTCAAACATATTCAAACATATTTAAACATATTCAAACATATTCAAACATATTCAAACATATTCAAGCAACATTCAAACAACATTCAAACAACATTCAAACAACATTCAAACAACATTCAAACAACATTCAAACAACATTCAAACAACATTCAAACATATTCGAACATATTCAAACATATTCAAACATATTCAAACATATTCAAACATATTCAAACAACATTCAAACAACATTCAAACAACATTCAAACAACATTCAAACAACATTCAAACAACATTCAAACAACATTCAAACAATATTCAAACATATTCAAACATATTCAAACATATTCAAACATATTACATATTCAAACATATTCAAACAACATTCAAACAACATTCAAACAACATTCAAACATATTCAAACATATTCAAACATATTCAAACATATTCAAACATATTCAAACATATTCAAACATATTACATATTCAAACATATTCAAACAACATTCAAACATATTCAAACATATTACATATTCAAACATATTCAAACATATTCAAACATATTCAAACATATTCAAACAACATTCAAACAACATTCAAACATATTCAAACATATTCAAACATATTCGAACATATTCAAACATATTACATATTCAAACATATTCAAACATATTCAAACATATTACATATTCAAACATATTACATATTCAAACATATTCAAACAACATTCAAACATATTCAAACATATTCAAACATATTCAAACAACATTCAAACATATTCAAACATATTCAAACATATTCAAACATATTCAAACATATTACATATTCAAACATATTCAAACGTATTCAAACATATTCAAACATATCCAAACAACATTCAAACAACATTCAAACAACATTCAAACATATTCAAACATATTCAAACATATTCAAGCATATTCAAACATATTACATATTCAAACATATTCAAACATATTCAGACATATTACATATTCAAACATATTCAAACATATTCAAACATATTACATATTCAAACATATTCAAACATATTCAAACATATTCAAACATATTACATATTCAAACATATTCAAACATATTCAAACATATTCAAACATATTCAAACATATTACATATTCAAACATATTCAAACATATTCAAACATATTCAAACATATTCAAACATATTCAAACATATTCAAACATATTCAAACATATTCAAACATATTCAAACATATTCATATTCAAACATATTCAAACATATTCAAACATATTCAAACATATTCAACCATATTCAAACATATTACATATTCAAACGCATTCAAACATATTCAAACATATTCAAACATATTACATATTACATATTCAAACATATTCAAACATATTCATATTCAAACATATTCAAACATATTCAAACATATTCAAACATATTCAAACATATTCAAACATATTCAAACATATTCAAACATATTCAAACATATTCAAACATATTACATATTCAAACATATTCAAACATATTCAAACATATTCAAACATATTCAAACATATTCAAACATATTCAAACATATTCAAACATATTCAAACATATTCAAACATATTCAAACATATTCAAACATATTCAAACATATTCAAACATATTCAATTCAAACATATTCAAACATATTCAAACATATTCAAACATATTCAAACATATTCAAACATATTCAAACATATTCAAACATATTCAAACATATTACATATTCAAACATATTCAAACATATTCAAACATATTCAAACATATTCAAACATATTCAAACATATTCAAACATATTCAAACATATTCAAACATATTCAAACATATTACATATTCAAACATATTCAAACATATTCAAACATATTCAAACATATTCAACCATATTCAAACATATTACATATTCAAACGCATTCAAACATATTCAAACATATTCAAACATATTACATATTACATATTCAAACATATTCAAACATATTCAAACATATTCAAACATATTACATATTCAAACATATTCAAACATATTCAAACAACATTCAAACAACATTCAAACAACATTCAAACATATTCAAACATATTCAAACATATAACATATTCAAACATATTCAAACATATTCAAACATATTCAAACATATTCAAACATATTCAAACATATTCAAACAACATTCAAACAACATTCAAACACATTCAAACATATTCAAACATATTCAAACATATTCAAACATATTCAAACATATTCAAACATATTCAAACATATTCAAACATATTCAAACTATGTAACATGTTTTGTTGTTTAATGAAGTGCTTGAACAAGTGCCATATTCAGGAGGCCCACGAGAATGCAATTCGGATCTTGGTGGAAGAGGCCAAAGTAAATCTGTGCCTCAGGACTGTGTAGGCACTATCCTTGGTGCTTTCAAAAATAGATATATAACTTACATAACTGAAGCGAGGAGGATGAGGAGGCAGGTGAACGGTTGAAAATGACACGTTGTGCAAGGCAACCGTTGCAACCTCAAACGCGGTGTGCAGGATGATGTACGACTTCAAGAAGTGGCAGTACAACTCAGCTGAAAAGCAGGCTGTAATGGAGGAAGCAATGAAGGCCGATGCTGCGTGATTGCCACCATGTTCTCGGTACGTACGTCCACCTGCCGCACAAACCTCAACCGCTGAATCAAGGTCCTAAAATTTATCTTGAACACAGTTTCATTGTTCTGTTGTTTGGTAAATTGCAGCCAAACGCATTTGGCAGATTGCAATTCAGTATGATTGCAGAAACTCGACGATGGCAGATCCTGGCTGCAAATGCACCGTTGAGACTTCAAGGCACCCATTGCTGCAGGCTTACGAGTCAACGGAGATGCAGCTGGACCAGAAGTGCGTTCAGTTTGAGGAGAATTGCAGTCTATTCTGCGAAGATACTGTATCTGAAGTTCCTGCGAAACAAGAAATATCTTGAAGAATACCATTGGAAATTCCATGTCTGATTTTTTGAAACGCTTTGAGACGTTTTGAAACAAGTGGACATGAGTTCAACAAAATGACGAAGATATTATCATGCACAGGGTCGCTTTCACCACGCATTCAGTTCACTGCAAGTGAGACTTGGAGGACTGTTTGGGAACACTTCTGCGGAAAGCATTTATGCATGTCCTTCTGTTAGCACAGCAAACTCCAAGCACAGCAAACTCCAAAGAGACGAACTGCAAATGACTGCAATATATTTCGCTGTGCTATTCTTTAGTTTTTCAAGGGAAGAGGAGCCTGCAAGGTGGAGACCTTGCAGCTGATGGACATACCATTGCTGATAGAGCATTGTGCTCCATCCTCAGCGAAGTTGCAACATTGTTTCATATTCTTTCCATATTATATATATATGTACTGCCATAAGTTGAACAAGTTGTCAAGGTTGTTCATGAAATGCCACCATTCACGACCTCTTCTGAGCTCCCCACTTTACATAGTCCCCTCTAGGTACTTGTAGTTGTAGCTTGTACTTGTGACATCTTGGAACACAAGTTTGTTGCAGGGATTTACATATATCTCGAGGCTTTCATCCTGCACGCTTGCTTCAACCTTGCAGAAGGTCCTGGTGATGCTAGACTTCAAGAGACTGTAGTTCTGTGCCCTGCAAGCTGCACACAAGAAGTCTGTATATAGTTCTAAAAGTTCTGTAATGTCATTGCCATTGCCTTGAATTGACTTGTTTCTCAAGGTACTACTTTAGCTCATTGATGAAGCACGCTGAGGCAAGGATGGAAATAGGGAATCAGATGTGAAGAGTTTTGGACAGTGCAGAAGTTGCGAATGTTTTGATTTACCTCTAGCTGCAGCTTTTGACTTCGATCTACCTGTAGGACTGAAAGGCGTCTTCAATTCGGAAGTGTGCTTCCTTCCATGTTATCAGGTGTTAGCTGCAAGTGCTTCCAGGGTTTCAGTGCTTGAGGAGGTTCATGATGAGTTTCATGAATACCGAGCACGAGCCCCCCTTGGCCCCCCTTGAACGCGTCTTCGAGTTGTTGGCATTTGTGCTGATTACTTATGTTTGCTGTCCGAGCCTGCACCTCAAATCCTGTTGCTTCATGTCGTTTCTCTTTCAACGTTTTCCCCGTCAGTTTTGCTTACGAAAAGTGTATCAGTGTAGTGTCATGCTTCGTCAACAGCATGTCTCAGGCCTAGATCTTTTGGAGCTTTCATTTCTCTTTTTCCAGTGTGTTTTGCATTCTGTTGGAGATATGTCATTTTGATGCACAGCATAAGTTGTCGACAAGCTTGACGTGCATATTTCTGCATGTGACATCGTGTGTACGACGCTCAAAGAGTAAAATGATCACTAAAAATACGATGATGCTAGAACCATATATATATACATATACATACATAATGTAAACCTTTCTGCTTGGCTGGTATCATTTTGCTGCACAAGATAAGTAGTAGGACACATTTTCGCGCGTGTGCCAGGTTGCATCATTTTCCTTTCCTTCCATCCTTCCCTCCATCCTTCCCTTCCTTTGCCATTTCCTTCCGTTCATTCCCTTTCGACTTTTTTTTTTCTCGTTCCTTCTGTCCACAGTCCTTCGTTCAGTCGTGTTCGCTCTCCATGCGGGTAGCAGACTAAACGAGGACCCAAGCAACCCATAAAAACACATCCTTCTCCTGGCCAAAAACATAGGAAACTCGCTGATTTTAAGTCTCAGTTCTGGCAGAGTGGAAGACTCATGGACTCGAAACAAGATGTAGCACTTGCCATCGTTGGCCACATTGACTTGGCCATTTTGCTGGACACCAGAGAGAAATGTTTTGTGCAGGCGTTGAACAATTCGGAACTCTTGGCAAGGAGCCGTGAACTGCAGTTGGTAGAGCTGGCAGTTGGCCACTATTTGCGGTTTGCGGATCAGTGCGCCCATCAGTTAGACACTGAATCAATTTAAAGTAGGATCTCATGATTTGCTTTGATCTCTGTACCGAGGTTCCCTGAAGAGTTGAAACAAAGCCTGGCAGAAGGCCTATCAGCTGGCCACTTATTCGACTTATTCGCCACGAGCTTTCGTACCGTCGCAAAGCTTGTCGCGATAAAATCTCCCGAGGCAATGGCAGACAATGAGGACTTCCGGTCATGTCCTCAATTCAGACTTTTAGGTACTGACAGACTGTTTTCAGGTATGTTTTTGCTTTTTGTTCTGGTGAAACATTATGCACAAGATTACTCTTAAATCAGTTGATCTCTTGGTTTTGGAATGGTTTTTCATGGTTTTGGCTTGACCACTCGAATTACATGTTAGAGTGCGCTCGCAATCACAGCACCCGCCACTCAATGGTAGTAGCAGGACAGCCCGGACCAACATTTATGCTAGAAACCTGAAAATCGTAGGTCCATGTTGGCACGTTGCCCCTCTATGCTGACCCACTTTGCCACCTTTGAACGCACCTTGGTCTATGTTTTCTCCTTCCAATCTTTTTTTGCTCTATGCAAAAATCGCCAAGTCTCTTGCACGCCAAAAGACATCAAAACTAACATTATGTTTTTTTTCTAGAGCAAACCGTTTGTGTCCAAGCGGCTTGGCGGCCATGGGCTTATGTTGGCACGAACCAAACTCGTCTGGCCCCACCACATATTTTTCATGCCTTTCGACATATGCTTACAAAAATGAGCAAACATGTGCTTCATTGTGCTTCCAATGCCCTGAGGAGAGAGGTAAAACTTCTTTTATCGAACCACCAAATACCAAAGCCACCTTTGTCATCAGGTTGGACTCAAGAAAATACATTGACACACACACAAATACAGTCAGAAGACCTTACGCGACCTACCATGCAGAGATACACCATTCTCAAGTGCCATGCTAAAGCCTGAAGGTCTCGGCCTTAGTCAGATGTTCCCATATTGCCCCTATCTTGACCCACCACCTTTTTAATGCAGCCTCCTCCAGCTCCATCCCTTCCATGTCCTATCCTCCTATCTCTGACCCACAATCTTTCTCTGACCAGCGGTTGTCCCCTCAATGAGCTCGATCGAATTGATGGCGTACCCAATCCCAGCCCCTCCGGCGGTGGAGCTCTTGATCTTGGTTCCCTTTAAAGGCCTTCATGGGCCCTTTGCCAGAAGATGGCCAAACTTGAGTTGTATCCATGAGCCAACCAAAGGTCAACCAACACTGCATGCCTGAAGGGCTCTGTAACACAGCCTCTATGTACAGCGTGCGCGTGGAAGAAATTCAATTCAGCCAGCTGTTGGGGGACTTGAACCAAGTCGCAGCTGCTCCGTATCAACTCAAGCAAATCAAACATAGCAGCTACATTGTTAGGAGAATCTGTGGAGCAAAAAAGAGTTCTGGATTCTCTAGTTTCCTCACAGCTTGCACAATTGCCAGGCTCCATAAATCCAGAAGTTGGCAAGCACTCATCCGTTTGTTAGTTGGGTATCTAAGATCTATCATTCAAAATCCAATAGAGCAACATGTTTGTACATACACACCTACACACTTCCATTGTAAAATCACGTTTTATCGGGCTGCTGATTTGGCTCCGTAGAAAGAAAGCAGCCACTGTTGGATCCTTAAGGTGGAAAAATGGGAGGGGGGACCTTCGGAAAATGTAACTTACATTTTCGGGGGGGAGGGGGGGAAGAAATGTACTTTAAATTTTGCTAGGGTGTGTTTTGAGGGGGTGTAAAAATGTAAGTAACACCACTCCTAGGTATGGTTTGCTAGTTATGGAATGTTATGGAGGTCATTGTCTATATATAATTATATATATATAATTATATATATATATATGTATATATATATACGATCATATGTGGGAAAAAATGTGACCGGGCGGGGGTCAACAAAAAATGTATAAAAAGTGTAAGTTACATTTGGAAGGTCCATGTTAGTCCAATATTTAGGGGATTGCCCAAAATGTAACTTTAAAAACCTTCGAACATGTAATTTACATTTTCCCAAAAATGTCAGTTGCATAGGCAGCACCCACTATTTTTTTGGGGGGCCTCAAAAATGTACCCGTACATTTTCTAGGCTCCAAAATCACTGGGAAAATAAGCAAATGAACTACTACATTTTCTAGGTCCCTACTTGTATCCCTGAAAAATGTAAGTTACATTTTCCAGAGGCCCCCCCCCCAATAATTTGGTAGGGATACTGTTGGTTGGATTTCTTATTTTTGTCAACAGTGTTTGCTTACCAAAAGCAATGGGAAGTTACGGTTTTTGCCGATCTGCCAAGAATATCCTGCTGTAGATCGCTACGAAAAAATGTACGAACAAACCGTACGGAAAGGATCTCTTACACGTTCGCTCTTAGGGAAACCTGAGCTTTGCTTGGTTCATAAACGTAAGGGACTTGTCTCAATTGAGCTTGAACTCACATTCATGAAATAGTGGCACCTTAGGCGGCTTAAACTCCCGATTCCCTCTTGATTGCTGGCTGTCGGACTGAAAGCTTACTGAGACAGGAAGACCTTTCAACTTCTATGAAATCATGTTTGCATGGAATTTTGAAACTGCCCCGCTTTGGGACAGAGGATTCATGCGTTGTTTTGCATCGTGTTCTGTATGTTTCTTTCTTTGCAGCGGCTGATTTCGATTACATTGCCGAGGACTGAATGGGAGAGTTTCTTTTTTACTCCCGAGGTTGTAAGCCCAGTGCTTTTGCCACTTTTGCGGTTGCACCTTGCAAACTTCATGCTGCAGGCAAAACTAAGTTTCCTCCAATTGGAAGAGAGGCTCAGCGCTCCGATCCTGGAGGTAGGGCGCAACTGCCGGCACAGTATGGTACAGAGCCTTATGTGACGCCTGATCCAGTCCTTTTTGCATAGCAGAAGGTTGATAGAAAGTTTGTGGTTGCAAAACATTTTTGGCGTCAATCTGCTCAATGCTGAGAACAACGCGGAAGGAAAGACCTGAGAAGCGGCGAGAAATCAGACCTTTGTTGGATTTCTATAACACCATCAAGCGATCCATGCCAGGGCCTTTGGGCCTTCGCAGTTTCAAATTAACGTATATATTATTATATTCACTTTCTCATGAATTGTAGAGCTTCGCACACCGGCGATGCCATAAGGGTTATGTATAGTAGTGTGAGCGTTGGTGTTGTTCATGCGCTCGGTGCGTGTGCGCAGGTGCAGAGCAAAGCATGATGTGCTTTTCATACCGCAGCTTGTAACACATCTTTTTGTCGCATTTTTGTGCTGCTTCTTGTTCTTGTTCTTGTTCTTCTTTTTTTGGTTGTTGTTGCTGTTGTTGTTGTTGTTGTCGTTGTCGTTGTCGTTGTGGTTGTTGTTGTTGTTGTTGTTGTGTTGTTGTTTTTGTTTTTGCAACACATCTTATTGTCTATGTGGGACCTACAAATCGTCACATAGGTGGTGTTTGCGCATTTTTTGACACTCTCGGAGCAAACAACATTGTAAATACCGTTGTTTTTGCGCCTCGGAAGCCCAAGACCACGGTATTTACGATGTTTTTTTGCTTCTGGTAGCAAGAATATCGGTATTTATGGTGTTTTTGTGCCCGTGCCTAGCAAAAACACTGGTATTTACGCAGGTTTCATGATGTCTTGCAAGATATAGTTTCTACATGAAAAGGACAAACACATGGTATTTTACGATATTACGAAAGCCAGCTGTCAAGCATGGCGCAGTTGCTCATTGCGAACGAAGTGAGAATAGGGAGTCTGGGGGGCGGTGGCTGAAAACATGGACAATTTTGAGGCACTTCCCCACCTAATTGGGGTGGCCTCCGTGGTCGATTTTGCGCGATTTTGAGGCTGATGTACCAGGTGGCACTTGGGTGACGGTGGGGTTCGATTCCCCCCTGGTCCGTCCTCCGACGTGCACTTGGGGAGACTGGAATGGAGGGTAAAATGATGGAGAAACCGAGTGAAACCATGGAAAAACAATGGACAATTGAGGGAATGGAAGGATAAAATAAATCGTACGGATTAGGTGTGTCATGGGGCGAGAAGGTTGGAGGGAAGAAAGAGTGTGGCTTGGGCGGGCCTTTTGGGGTGAGGCTCTTTTAGGTGGCTGCTGGGAAGCAAACGAGCCCGCAGGGTGAAGGTTGCAGATGGCTGCTGATGCCTGGGGGTGGGAGGAGGGAGGTGCGTGGCTGGGTGCTGCAGGCCAGGCAACGTGAGGTTGCTCGTTCGGAATGAAGTCAGAGCAGAGGATTTGGGGAAAAAGTGGACAATTTGAGGCAACTATGCGAGTAGGAGTGGTACTGTTGGGGCGGTTGGAGCGCGATTGGATCGCGATTGGATGGCGATTGGAATCATCCTCAACTTGAGCAACTGTCCGCTCGTAAGCATGTCCTTGTCACAGTCTGTTCGGGTTGAGTTTTGATCTTATAACGAGTCAAGAGAAGTGTTCGGAATGAAGTCAGAGCAGAGGGTGTGGGGAAAAAGTGGACAATTTGAGGCAACTATGCGAGTAGGAGTGGTACTGTTGGGGCGGTTGGAGCGCGATTGGATCGCGATTGGATGGCGCTTGGAATCATCCTCAACTTGAGCAACTGTCCACTCGTAAGCATGTCCTTGTCACAGTCTGTTCAGGTTGAGTTTTGATCTTGTAACGAGTCAAGAGAAACGTGGATACCAATGGTCTTGCGATTGGGATTATTGGGACCGCGATTGGGCCGTGATGGGCCGGGGATGGGTCCTGTTGGGGATGAAGTGATTTTGAGCAACTTCCCACATGCACTGATGTGCGCGGAGGATGCGCAAGCCAAATGTTTTGGGCTTAAAGAAATGGAATTGGTGCCCGCATTGAAGGGAGAATCTTCATGCAAGTCTTTAACATTAACCATGTGAACAGTTTTGCTGAGGTTCTTGCAATTTTGCGGTGTTGGTTCTTGACATTTACGAACATGCTAGTATTGACAAAACAACAAGGTAGTCCTGCTTGCAATTTAGATGTTCATGTAGTGCTTATGTGGAGTGCTTAGGAATGAGGTATCGAAAAGATATGCATGTCTGGAAAAGTAGTAAGTAGTCCACGGATGCAGTACCGGGCGCATGCCAGAGTGCCATGGATATTTCAGGCTGGCGTGTCATATTGGAAGAGTGTGCGTCGAGATTATTCGAATCTGATCTGTTATGCATCATCACCCATTAAGTGAAGCTGTTGGAAAGCAAGTTGCCTGTGGTTGCAGGGTGCCTGGGCCAGTTGGACGTGTTGGAGGGAAGAAAGAGCGTGGCTTGGGCGGGCCTTTTGGGGTGAGGCTCTTTTAGGTGGCTGCTGAGAAGCAAAGGAGCCCGCAGGGTGAAGGTGGCAGATGGCTGCTGATGCCTGGGGGCGGGAGGAGGGAGGTGCGTGGCAGGGGGTGCATGTAGTTGGAATGGTTGCTGCAGGCCAGGCAACGTGAGGTTGCTCGTTCGGAATGAAGTCAGAGCAGAGGATTTGGGGAAAAAGTGGACAATTTGAGGCAACTATGCGAGTAGGGGTGGTACTGTTGGGGCGGTTGGAGCGCGATTGGATCGCGATTGGATGGCGATTGGAATCATCCTCAACTTGAGCAACTGTCCACTCGTAAGCATGTCCTTGTCACAGTCTGTTCGGGTTGAGTTTTGATCTTATAACGAGTCAAGAGGAACGTTCGGAATGAAGTCAGAGCAGAGGATTTGGGGAAAAAGTGGACAATTTGAGGCAACTATGCGAGTAGGAGTGGTACTGTTGGGGTCGTTGGAGCGCGATTGGATCGCGATTGGATAGCGATTGGAATCATCCTCAGCTTGAGCAACTGTCCACTCGTAAGCATGTCCTTGTCACAGTCTGTTCGGGTTGAGTCTTGATCTTGTAACGGGTCAAGAGAGACGTGGATATACCAATGCTCTTGCGATTGGGATTATTGGGACCGCGATTGGGCCGTGATGGGCCGGGGATGGGGCCTGTTGGGGATGAAGTGATTTTGAGCAACTTCCCACATGCACTGATGTGCGTGGAGGATGCGCAAGCCAAATGTTTTGGGCTTAAAGAAAGGGAATTGGTGCCCGCATTGAAGGGAGACCTCAACCAACCCCCAACCGCAATCCCTGCCATGCTCTCCACCCTCCTGTTTCCGTTCCAACTTGTCCCTGGCTTTCGTCCCCTCCTCTCAGGTTTTGGCTTCCGGGGCGCAGCTTATAATTTTAGCATCTTTTTTCCCGGCCCCGGAACCCCAAAAATGTGAAAACACCACCAGAGTGAGTCGGCGGCAGGCGTGCGCCCCCGGTAGCTAAAGCTATGGCTGCAAGGTGCACACAAACGGCGGGGGCATCGCCGGATTTAAGGGCTTATGCCAAACAGCCGGCCAGGGGCCCACCCATGGGGAATGAGGAAGGGGGAAAAGGAAACTAAATAAAAGGTAAGAAGGAAAGGGCCAGACAGTGGAGCAATGGGTGGTTTGGGGTTGTTGTGGCCGTGCCGTGGCCGTGGCCGTGGGCGTGGGCGTGGGCGTGGGCGTGGTCGTGGGCGTGGTCGTGGTCGTGGTCGTGGTCGTGGTCGTGGTCGTCGTGGTGGTTGTGGTTGTGGTTGTGGTTGTGGTTGTGGTTGTGGTTGTGGTTGTGGTTGTGGTTGTGGTTGTGGTTGTGGTTGTGGTTGTTGTTGTTGTTGTTGTGGTTGTGGTTGTGGTTGTGGTTGTGGTTATCGTTGTCGTTGTTGTTGTTGTTGTTGTTGTTGTTGTTGTTGTTGTTGTTGTTGTCGTTGTCGTTATGGTTGTTGTTGTTGTTGTTGTTGTTGTTGTTGTTGTTGTTGTTGTTGTTGTTGTGGTCGTCGTCGTCGTCGTTGTTGTTGTCGTTGTTGTCGTGGTTGTCGTGGTTGTCGTGGTTGTCGTGGTTGTCGTGGTTGTCGTGGTTGTCGTGGTCGTCGTCGTCGTCGTCGTCGTCGTCGTCGTCGTTGCGTCGTCGTGGTCGTGGTCGTGGTCGTGGTCGTTGTCGTTGTCGTTGTCGTTGTCGTTGTAGTTGTTGTCGTTGTAGTTGTTGTAGTAGTAGTAGTAGTAGTTGTAGTAGTAGTAGTAGTTGTTGTTGTTGTCGTCGTGGTCGTGGTCGTGGTCGTGGTCGTGGTCGTGGTCGTGGTCGTGGTCGTGGTGGTGGTGGTGGTGGTGGTTGTGGTTGTGGTTGTGGTTGTGGTTGTGGTTGTTGTTGTTGTTGTTGTGCGGCGGAGGTCTATGTTGGCCCAGCAAGGTTGGGCTGTCTTGGGGCTATGTTGGGCCCATCTAGAGGCCAGGTTGCAGCTATGTTGGGCCATCTTGAACGATGGTGGGGCTATGATGGCCCATTTTGGGCAGTCTTGGGCCCTATGTTGGGCAGCTTGGAGGTATGTTGGGGTCTTGGGGCCAGGTTGGGCCGTCTTGAGGGTATGTTGGGCCCATCTTGAGGCCAGGTTGCAGCTATGTGGGCCATCTCGAACGATGGTGGGGCTATGATGGCCCATCGTGGAGCTATGTTGGGCAGTCTTGGGCCCTATGTTGGCCCATCTTGGACCTGTTGAGGTAGCTTCATCCAACTAAATCCGTAAGACCGTAAGACCATTGAAAAGTTGGAAAAGCCAAAAAAACTGTAAAATACAGGGTTCGGGCTTGCCCCAGTCAAGGTCGGCGGCAGGGGCAACCCTTTCTCCCCTACGGAGAGGAGAGAACCCTTCGGGATGCGGCCAGGTGGGGCGCATGTTGGGCCCCTGGTCGAATTTAAAGCTGACGCTCATCGTCGGCTCCGCCAGATTACTTGACCCTCGATGTCATCGCAGGGTGGGCTTGAAAGCTATTGAATGAGGACCGGCTGCTTCAGAAATATATTCCTTATTTTCTTTTTTGAGCATATTCATGGAATCATGGAGCTGCGGTTCTGTTCTTGGAGCAAGTGGGGAAGGCTTGATCCCGAAAGCTCATGCGAAGGGCTATTCCTAAAGAACTGCTGCCAATTTCAACTTTCCACTTCGTGTAAAGGCGCCTCTGTGTAAAGACTTCTCTGCGTAAAAGCTTCTGTGTTTAAAAACTTCTGCGTGTAAATTCTCTGTGTAAAGACTTCTCTGTGTAAAGGCTTCTGTGTGTAAAAGCTTCTGCGTGTGAAAGCTTCTCTGTATAAAGATTTCTCTGTGTAAAAACTTCTGTGTGTAAACGCGCCTGTGTGTAAAAGCTTCTTTGTGTAAAGACTTCTCTGTGTAAAAGCTTTTGTGTGCAAAAGCTTCTGCGTGTGAAAGCAAGCTTCTCAGTGTAAAGATTTCTCTGTGTAAAAACTTCTGTGTGTAAACGCGCCTGTGTGTGAAAGCATCTCTGTGTAAAGGTTTCTCCGTGTAAAAACTTATGTGTGTGAAAGCGTCCGTGTGTAAAAGCTCTCTCTGTAAAGACTTCTTTGTGCAAAAGTTTCTATCTGTAAACGCGCGTGTGTGTTAAAGCTCTCTGTGTAAAGACTTCTTTGCGTAACAGCATCTGTGTGTGACAGCTTCTGTGAGAAAACTCCCTTGTGTGTAGAAGCTCCCCTGTGTAAAAGGCTTCTCTGTGTAAAAGCTTCTATGCGTAAAAGCTTCTGTGTGTAAACGCGTCTGTGTAAAAGCGCCTCACCAGCAGCATCCATCATCATATTTTCTTGTGTGCTGTCTTCTCGTCTCCTCCCTCCAGCTTTCTTTCGGGCCACGCAGTCTAGTTTCAATCTGTAACGTCGTTTCTTGTTGAAGAACGCCAAGAACATGTCAATGTAACAGCGTCTGTGTGTAACAGCTTCTGTGTGTAAACGCCCTTGTGTGTAAAAGCTTCAGAGGCTTCTCTGTGTAAAAACTTCTGTGTGTGAAAGCTTCCGTGTGTAAAAGCTCTCTCTGTAAAGACTTCTTTGTGTAAAAGTTTCTATCTGTAAACGCGCCTGTGTGTTAACGCTCTCTGTGTAAAGACTTCTTTGTGTAACAGCGTCTGTGTGTAACAGCTTCGGTGTGTACACGCCCTTGTGTGTAAAAGGGCCTGTGTAAGTAAAGGCTTCTCTGTGTAAACGGTTCTGCGTGCAAACGCGTCTGTGTGTAAAAGCTCTCTGTGTAATCGCTTCTCTGTGTAAAAGCTTCTGTGTGTTAAAGCTCCCCTGTGTAAAACGCGTTTTTGTTTATGTGCAAAATCTCCGTCGTGTAAAAAGATTTCTCGGTGTAAACGCTTCCGTGCGTAAAAGCTCCTCTGTGTAAAGATTTCTCTCTGCGTAAAAGCTTCTGCGTGTAAAAGCCAGTCTGTATAAAAGCTTCTCTATGTAAAAGCTTCTGTGCGTAAAAGCTTCTGTGTGTAAACGCGTCTGTGTAAAAGCGCCTCACCAGCTGCATTCATCATCATATTTTCTTGTGTGCTATCTTCTCGTCTCCTCCCTCCAGCTTTCTTTCGGGCCACGCACGGTCTAGTTTCAATCTGTAACGTCGTTTCTTGTTGAAGAATGGCAAGAAACGTGAAAGCATCGCTCGTTTAAAAATTGAACATAAACAGCGCACAAAGTGCTGTAATTTACAGCATTTTGCGCTGTCAGAGGGCAAGAACCTGCGTAAACACCACAGTTTTTGTCCTTGAAAGTTGATAAAACATTGTTATTTACAGGGTTTTGCTCACATCACGATCTTCGATTTTTTGAAAAACGCATCAATTCCAGCGTTTGTTTTTGCATTCATCAAGGGAAAAATCGGTTCAAAAAGTGAAAAACTGCTGTAATTTACAAGGCTTGGGACTGTCATGGGCAAAAAACTGCGTAAATACCAGCGTTTCAGCGTCCAAAACACCGCGATTTACAGTGTTTCGTGCCTTCCGCGTTTTCTTGACATTCCAAAAACAGTGTAAATACCGGCATTTTTTGCGATCAGCTTGACAAACATGTTGTAATTTACAATGTTCTTTGCCTTGCTTCCAAAAACACTGGCATTTGCAGTGTTTTGCGCATCTCTGGTTTAAAAAGCATTGGTGTTTACAAAATTTTCTGGGTTTTTGCATGGTTCCCGCAAGAGACGTTAAAACGCAAAAATGTTGTAATTTACAGCATTTTGCCAGTTCCGAAAAGCTAAAAATTGTCCGAGAAATGTGTCAAAACGGCATTTTTTTGATTTTGGGCAGCCTCAAAATGGGGAGGGCCGGGATTATGCTCTTGGAGACGCTCATGAGCGACCCGGATTCCGTCCAAAAAGCTTTCCCGAAGGCGAAGGATTTTTGGTGTTTTTCGGGATGGTCGGAGGGTCGGCGGCTTGGGGCGCGCTTCACCATAGGGCTGTAGTCGCTCTGGGACTCTCGTAGTCAGCGCACTCGTGGGGAGCCGAATTAAAAACCGCCCCGTGTCGCCGACCCCAGAGGAAAGAAGATAGGGATCTGTCAATATTGTTGGAAGTTCGATTTCGAAACTTTGTGCGATGAGTTGAATGTGAGTTCATTAGTCGTATCATTCTTTCAAGATGATTAGGTACACCGGCACCGGCAGTCATTGTCTGGAGCTTTGCTACTCCTTTTGACATATGCAACTGCCCGTTAAAAATTTGGACGAATCCAAATGTTGCGGCCTTCCAGCCTCTAAACCTAGCTGCAAAATGCAGCTGCCAAGCTTCAAAAACGAGACCTGCGCCAGTCCCAAGCACCATGGCAGTGAAGGGCGGATGCGCCCCGCTGCCAGCAGCCAGTCGTGCCTAACGCCGTTTTCTGAACCGACAAGAAACCACCTCCCAAGTTTGCAGCCTTCCAGCCTCCAAACCTAGCTGCAAAATGCAGCTGCCAAGCTTCAAAAGCGTGACCCTCGCCAGTCCCAAACGCCATGGCAGTGAAGGATGGATGCGCCCCGCTGCGACTCGTGCTTCACGTCGCTTTCTGAAAAGAAACTGCATCCTGTCTCTCTGCAATGGTCAATCTTTTCTCATGCGGCTTTGGCTCGGTAGGCTTGTCAGCCAAGGGTGATACACAGTAGGAACGACCAACGCCGCCAAATCCCTGCTTTCACCTCTTCATATCAACTACCTTTTTCGTCGAAATCCTCCACATGTCTCCCCTCCAAATCTCTATCTGCCTTCTCATCATATATTCGGAATCATCAGACTTCAGGAAGTAGATGAAATCATCATATGGGGAATCATCAGACATCAGGAGGTAGATTGGATGAAAAGTTTCCCATATCACCTGCCCCAGAGCACAAGATGTCGACTCATGTATCAGAGATTAAAACCAGGAAGGTGCATGATGCTTGCTTGTTAGGACGTGAGCAAGGTCATCCATTCTTTGTGCCTCTCCTCCTGAGCGTCGTAATCAACTTGGAGAATTCGCGCATCCTCTGAGCCCACTGCCTCTTCTCGTCCTCTCTCCTCACCTATCTCCTCAGCCTTTCCTACCCCCACTTCATGCTTAAGCTCAGCAGAAAGGGTAGGTGCCCCATATCGTTGCTTGAGAGTCTCTACATGGCCTGGAACTACCTCAACACGCAGCAATGACCCTTTCACCCAGTCAGTACCAACTTGAACCAAGGCAATGTTGTCGCCAATCATCACCCCGCAACCGGGCAAGTCCTTGCAAGGCTGGGTCAAAAACGGCACCAGCAGCTCCTTCTCGGGACATTCTAAATTTCACCAACAATCTACCCAGGTAGGCTGTAGCAGAAACAGTCTCACCCTTGCGGTTGATCATTGTTGATGGCACCTGCTTCTCATCCCAATGCCCTGCCTTCCTGATCTCCTAAATGGCCTCACCTATATACTTCTTAAAAACATCATCCGTGACGACCTCTGAGAAACGATACGAAGCTTGACTGAATCGCGACCAGTACTGACATGTCTTGTTCTTGATACGCACACAGCTCGGCCCTTGGCTGCCATCCAAATCAAAAAACTCTGCATAGATATCAAAGTCCGGTGTAAGGATAAACCAGGATTTGGTTCCGTTCATGGCTGGCCAAAGGAGTAGTCGTTAGAAATTAGCCAAGGTCATCCCCACCTGGAAAGCAGATAGCTCCTCTACCTTTGCATTTCGGACTGTCATGCTTCTTGGGCACTGGTGTAAAAGATTTCCCGGCCACAGCCCAAGTCAGACCAGCTGTCGCCGCAATACTCAATAGCCACTGAGCTGAAACCACTGAAGAACTCGTAGAATTTTGCTCAACACAGGTACACGAGCACTGACAAACCTGTGCTGACGGCGAGGGCGACTCCCCAGGTATTGCTCTAGATTTAAGACCTACTTCTATACACCGAGTGGCCAAGGCCAGTAGGATAGCCTCTAATTTCATTCCACCTTATGCCTTGAGCATCTCCACGGCATCATCGCATCACCACATCCTGCATTCATGTGTCACGCACTTCCATAGCTCCCAAGTTTGCACCCTTCCAGGCTCCAATTTCCAACGTAGCTTCAAGATGCAGCTGCCAAGCTTCAAAAACGTGACCCTCGCCAGCCCAAACACCATGGCAGTGAAGGACGGATGCGCCCCGCTGCCAGCGGCCACTCGTGCCTAACGTCGCTTTGTGAACCGACAAAAAACTAGCTCCCAAGTTTGCAGCCTTCTAGCTTCCAAACCTCTGGTGCCGTTGCTTTTCAGGCGCTCCCCCTGGTTTCCTGGGGTCGGCGGATTGTGCAATTTTTTTTCCAAAAGGGAAAACACGTCAAACTCTTGGGGTCAGTCTCTTCAACAGCTTTTCAATCTACACAAGTGAGGCCCCAGTTGCGTCCGTTTGTGCCTGCGATATGGCTCAGGTAAGGCCCAACAGAGCTTCGGCTGATCCTACCACAAGGCGGTAGAGCGTTTGAATTTGGTTTTCTGAGCGGTTGGAGCTGCCACCAGTTACTAGCAGAGGGGTCACTGCCGGAAGCAGATTGATTAGGTATAATATAGACGGTGCCGGTATACATGAAGGATTGGCCCGAAAATAACAAGCAGTTCTTGCACGGGCTACCTTAAGGGTTGCCCCATATAGCAGGTTAGACCAGCTGGCTATGTGAAACAGGCATCCAATCTTTGGAGAAGTCGTGCCCAAAAGCAAAGAACAAGTCTACACATTGTCCTTTTCAGTGCGGACCTCTGTGCACAACATGCTCCTGTTGATACCAAGCAGCTTGTTTTCTTTCAGCAGTGGACCCATGGGTCTGTGTCAGCACGCCGCATTCCAGCTCTAACCCAATGCGGGCAGAGCTAGAAGTTTCGCTTCATGTATCACTGAGAGATCAAACTTTGAGGAGCAAGTGGCACAGTGCACTAGTTGCCAGTGCTACATTCAAAGACAGCCCTCAAAAAGCTAGAACGCGCGAACTGGAGTGCAGAAAAGTCTCTTCGACAAACAAAGACTTGAGCTACTGAGAGCAAAGGCTAATGCATACTTAGGTGTTTGGCAAGCTATCGCTGCATGCAAATTGTGTGTGGCTCTTTTGAGGGACCAAGCAGCCTGCTGGTAGTTTGACACTCGTTTGAACCGCTTCTTTGACATGGGTTGCGGAGGATCAACTGTGCTAGACCCAAGTTTGAAAGCAGACTGTTGTGACCGCTGCAAAGAAAGACACGAGCTTCTGAACTTGCAGACACCTTGTGACTGTGTGTGACACCCGCATGAGGCCAAACCATATATTCCGCACGAAGATCCTCCTGACCCAGTTGCACCAAATGCTGGCAAACAAACGGAGGTTAAAGTTGATGGCGGTGCGGGGTTCACAATCAACCAACACGCCGGCAAAGCACACCCAGGCACACAGGGCACCTCCATTTATTTGATGTCTCATTCTAGTCTAGCAGGTCTGGGCGTCAGCAGAGGTCCTTAGCCTATTCCAACAATGGCAAGACTATATAATAAATTTAATGAATACTTAACACGTTGAGACTATATCGTAAATTTAACGAATGAGACGAATGAGGTTGTCCTTCAGCAGGCCCTCCAGGTCCAAGTATTTTGGCAACTTGTGCTGTTCTTTTGTGTTTTCCTTCTATGCGCTCTCCGAGAACCTGCAGTGTTATTGACTGGGCTACATGGTGTGTCCTTTCAATACAGACGAATTTGACAAGTTGAGTCTTTGTAAGACTGCAACTATCTGTTCATGGTTTGGCAATGTATCACCGTCAAGGGCATCCACAAAGTATTTATACTGCATACTCGTTTCATGACACGTGAAGTAGTTGGAAAATGTTTAACGAAGAGGTTCTTGATGAGCTGGACCATGGCATGGTGTTAAGACGGTGCTATCCATTTTGGGGATACCAGGGACAGATGAGTCACATGTCAGCGACTACCCCAGGAGTGCTTTCCAAGATTCAGAAGCTATAGTCTGACAGATAGTGGCTTGTAGCAAACCACAAGTATTTTATTTAGAGTAGACAATGCCACATGCCACTGACTGGACACTTCTAATGGCCAACGCAGATCATCAGTCTTGAACGCTTCAAGGCACTTGACAACTTGATCGCATACAACTTCTTTGATCCGATCCATCACGCTTTGCATCTTTGAATAAATTCGAACTTGATGACATCACTGGGCATGAAAATAGACTTGCACCATTCATTTGGTTGTTTAGTTCAATTGCACAAATTAGCATGCTTTGGACCACTTAACAACGTGAACCTAAAATATAAGCGACTCCAGACTCCAAGTGGCTACAAACCAGTGATAATGATTGCCACGGTCAATAGCAGAGTTTGAGCTGAACCCTCTCCTCCAGGAAAAAGACACGGTGCATTAGTCAATGCCGCAAAATCTCTATTCGTGTTTGCAAAGACGAAGACATTTGGAGGTTCTGGCGCAAGGTTTGCACCAGGCTAAACAGAAAGGCGCCAAAATACAATCTTTCTGATCTTTCTGATCTTTCTCTTTCCCAATCTTTCCCTACGGAATGCAATCCTTTTTGCGGGAACACTTCGGATGGACTCGTGCCTCCGTCGGAAGTGCTGAATCCTATCAGCGCATTTCCTGCAGAATGTTAGGCGAGAGCCGCACCTTCGGTGAAGCATGGTGCATGCACATGCATGCGCTACATTCACTACATTCACTACACGGGCAAAAATCCGCAACCGCATTACCACAGCCATTCCAATATGCATAGCAACCGTGCTGTAGACCTCATTTACTCTCTCTGCCCGTCACACATAGGTCACCAACGTACTGTCTAACGACGAAATAGGGTTGTTAATTACGAAGCTGTATACTTGAATGCGTTAGTTGAATGCGAAAGAAGCAGAGGTATTTCAATCATGAAGTACTTATAGTATATATATATACACAATAATTTATATACCTCGATCTTCCATCCTTGCATTATTTTCGCCCCTGACTTCTGTAAGTGCCCCGTCAGAGTCGAATTGCATGTGTCCTATGCTGCCTGTCCATAAAGTTTCGCAAGGTCAACGGCAGTCAGTGCATGTCACCACAAAGTGTGAATGTTCTAGCCATCTTCTTTGGAAAGTTGGGTCAAACAATATCAAACGCATCACGCTTGTGGGAACCCAAGCCAATGAGGCCAAAGCATTTGTCCAACTGCAATAAATTCCTTCCCATGCGCAAAACATGGTTGCGTAGTCGGGTGCGGCAACACTAATTACTGCAGGCAAAGCCCGAGGAGTGCACAGTCCACCCCCTTGTTTAATTAGGTTTCATTGCCCTCGTTTTGATACAACATATAGTTTTCGCACAAACTGCGAGCATCTGTCATTTTTTTTTAAACGCTGGCGGAAACTGACATAGTTAAACTAAGGAAACTAGCTGGTGGCAATCTGAACGCAAAAGGATGACAACATATACAGCATCAAAAGTATTGCAACATTTGACGCCTGGGATAGCCTATTGGCTTCAAACCAATGTAGAATCCAGATTAATAATTGCAAAACGGGACATGTAGAAAACTTGTCACAATTTTGGAAAAGCTTGGCTGCAGCCGCACCCAGGCAAATATATCCTTCAGGGCGTGCATTTCTTGAACTCCAAAGGTTCTTTTTCTTGTCTTCTGTCTAGCAACCGGATTCTTATGATCCCCGAGTAGTTGGCTTTCTTGCTGGCTCAGAAAGACATGAGGAATAACAGACCGGAATGTATGGAATGTATGAAAGGCTTTCGTCTGCATATACCCAAAGTAGTGTTTCACGCAGGTGAACAATTGAAGGGGTGCTGTAAAGACAGGAGTTCATGCAAGACCAGATTAAGAAACAACGTAATCAGATTCAAAAAGTGACCACAAAAAATATTTTTTGTACAAACAGTATTTATCATGCAATTCACAAAGCAAGGGCTTTGGTGCACACAAAGGTTTTTCACAAGCACTGCCGAAAAGGGTTATTATGAGTCATGCATGGAGAAGTCTTTATTGCTTTTTACAGCTGAACAGATTTTCATGCATGAAAGGCCTCCCATCCAGGCGCCATAAAGCAAAAGTTTTCATGCATTGCATGAACGAGCTTCATGCAGCCATTTTTACAAAAATTAATTTAAGACATGGCTTGCATGCATAACAGGATTTTGCACATGTATTGCAAAAGAGGGCCTTCATGCATGAAAAGGCGTCTGAAAGGTCCCCTGCAAACTTCATCCAGAAAAAGACTCATATTATGCTGACACAAAAGAAAAGCGCGCGTGCAGGAAGGATTGGCCAGCAGAGAAAAGGTTTTCGTGCATGAAAGGGGTTGTGGCCGCAACAACCTGAGACCTGAGAAGGAGGTTTCATCCATGGAAAAAATCTCCAGCTGCTTCTTCTGGGCAGAATGTGGGAGAAAGTGTGTGTCTGTGGGTGCTTTTGAAATGAAGGCATAAAAGCGAAAATTGCAAGTAAGGTACAGTAACCAACAAATGGTTTCATACCTGAAAGGATCTGAAAGGATTTCCCCAAGAGAGTCCTTCCGTGTATGAACAAGTGCACAAGGTTAGTTCGCGAAATGCATCATGAAGAACGGGTTTTATTTAATACACGAGAACCTTGCGTAAAGGCACTGCTAACTGAGAAATTTCTTGCAAGAACGGACTTGCTACGGATCTGACCCTGAAAAGCATGCAAAAAAATCACGCCGCACAGAAGTAGGAGATATCATACATGAAAGGCATTAATGATGGTGCCACAAAGATAGGGCTTCAAGATTTTGGGACTTTCACTGGTAGACCATAAAAACTCATAACATAGACCCGGGCAAGCCGGCGGCGGAAGTTTCCCAAAAATAAATGACCTATAGTTCAAAGACAACCTGTCCCGACCGTGTCCTTCCCTCGACACTCCACACCTCACACTGCACACTGCACTCTTCGCACTCCAAACTTCAAACTTCACACTCCACACTTCACACTTCACACTCCACACTTCTCACTTCTCACTGCTTCCTTCACACTCCAAACCTCACACTTCACACTTCACACTTCACACTGCGCTCTTCGCACTCCAAACTTAAACTTCACACTCCACACTTCACACTTCACACTTCTCACTTCCCACTGCTTCCTTCACACTTCACACTTCACACTGCACTCTTCACGCCCCACACTTCACACTGCTCTAAACCTACGTGCAACAAAAAAACACTAGTGCCAAAATGGAGAAAATCTGCTAACAAATCCATTTCGCAGCCTTCATGCAGCCACTCCAATACGATTTACGAGATCCAGCTGCAAAAGACAATAGTATTACGAATGCAGCCACAGCACGAAGCAACCTTGACGCAGCCATTACAATGCGATCTGCAGAGACTGAGTTGCAAAACACAATAGAACTACGCACAACGGCGTCGGAAATTGTAGCTCCAAAACCGGATCTCGACGCCAGAGCGAAAAAAAGACGATTTTGTAGCACTCTTTAAAAGGATTTTTAGAAGGAAAATCACTAGCGCCAAAATGGAGAAAATCTGCTGACAAATCACTGTCGCAGCCTTCATGCAGCCACTCCAATACGATTTACGAGATCCAGCTGCAAAAGACAATAGTATTACCAATGCAGCCACAGCACGAAGCAACCTTGACGCAGCCATTACAATGCGATCTGCAGAGACTGAGTTGCAAAACACAATAGAACTACGCACAACGGCGTCGGAAATTGTAGCTCCAAAACCGGATCTCGATGCCAGAGCGAAAAAAGGACGATTTTGAAGCACTTTCTAAAAGGATTTTTAGAAGGAAAATCACTAGCGCCAAAATGAAGAAAATCTGCTGACAAATCACTGTGGCAGCCTTCATGCAGCCACTCCAATACGATTTACGAAGTCCAGCTGCAAAAGACATTAGTATTACCAATGCAGCCACAGCAAAAAGCAACCTTGACGCAACCATTTACACTGCGGGAACGATCCTACAGTTGCAAAGCACAATGGAATTCCATCGGCAACTCATCCACCAGCAACACTTGCAATCCCATTTACATTGAGGGAACGATCCTAGAGTTGCAAATCACAATGGAATTCCATCGGCAACTCATCCACCAGCACCACTTGCAATCCCATTTACAATGCGGGAACGATCCTACAGTTGCAAATCACAATGGAATTCTGTCGACCGCACATGCACGAAAACAGGTGAAACCCCATTTACAATGCGGAACCGATCCGACCATGATCCGACCATGATCCGAGCATGATCCGACCACACACGAGACCGTCTCGCACCCGTCGCACCGCAGAGGTAGATCATCGAGGTTCGGGGACGGACTTTGTATGGAAAAACATAGGGTTTCGTGCATCTGCTATCTCTCAAAAACGCATTTCGTGCGAGACTTCCTCCAAAACTCCATCGGCAACTCCTCCACCGGCACCACTTGCAATCCCATTTGCATTGCGGGAACGATCCTAGAGTTGCAAATCACAATGGAATTCCATCGGCAACTCATCCACCAGCACCACTTGCAATCCCATTTACAATGCGGGAACGATCCTACAGTTGCAAATCACAATGGAATTCTGTCGACCGCACATGCACGAAAAACAGGTGAAACCCCATTTACAATGCGGAACCGATCCGACCATGATCCGACCATGATCCGAGCATGATCCGACCACACACGAGACCGTCTCGCAACCGTCGCACCGCAGAGGTAGATCATCGAGGTTCGGGGACGGACTTTGTATGGAAAAACATAGGGTTTCGTGCATCTGCTATCTCTCAAAAACGCATTTCGTGCGAGACTTCCTCCAAAACTCCATCGGCAACTCCTCCACCAGCACCACTTGCAATCCCATTTACATTGCGGGAACGATCCTAGAGTTGCAAATCACAATGGAATTCCATCGGCAACTCATCCACCAGCACCACTTGCAATCCCATTTACATTGCGGGAACGATCCTACAGTTGCAAATCACAATGGAATTCTGTCGACCGCACATGCACGAAACACAGGTGAAACCCCATTTACAATGCGGAACCGATCCGACCATGATCCGAGACCGACCATGATCCGACCACACACGAGACCGTCTCGCACCCGTCGCACCGCAGAGGTAGATCATCGAGGTTCGGGGACGGACTTTGTATGGAAAAACATAGGGTTTCGTGCATCTGCTATCTCTCAAAAACACATTTCGTGTGAGACTTCCTTCAAAAATCCAACTTGAAGATGTCATTTACAATTAACTCTTTCCCTCACTAACTCTTTCTTTGACTAACTCTTTCCCTGATTAACTCTTTCCCTAACTAACTCTTTCCCTCACTAACTCTTTCTTTGACTAACTGTTTGTATGGAAAAACATAGGGTTTCGTGCATCTGCTATCTCTCAAAAACACATTTCGTGCGAGACTTCCTTCAAAAATCCAACTTGAAGATGTCATTTACAATTAACTCTTTCCCTCACTAACTCTTTCTTTGACTAACTCTTTCCCTGATTAACTCTTTCCCTAACTAACTCTTTCCCTCACTAACTCTTTCTTTGACTAACTCTTTCCCTGACATTCTAAAAGTTACAACTAACTCTGTCCCTAACTAACTCTTCCTTTGACTAACTCTTTCCCTGACAGTCCCTAACTAACTCTTTCCCTCACTAACTCTTTCTTTGACGAACTCTTTCCCTGACATTCTAAAAGTCCGTAACACAACATAATGTTGCCGCGAAAATTCATAAAGATGGCGACCGGGGTAAATCCGCCCCTTACCCGGGTAAATCCACCCCTCGGATTTTTTGATTTTTCGGGTTTTGACATGTTCGACCTCCCATGAGTACGTTCATGTTTTTGCGCGCCGCATCTTCAACATCATGAGTGCATTTACTATACTGTATTTTTTGGCGCGCCACATTTTCCACCTCATAAAAGTATGTTCACATTTTTGTGCGGGACATTTTCCACATCATACGAGTACTTTCACTTTCCTGTGCATCTTCCACCTCATATGAGTACGTTCATTTATTTGTGCGCCACATTTTCCAGCTCATATGAGTACGTTGATTTTTTTTGTGCGCCGCACTTTCCACGTCATATGAGCACATTCACTTTTTCGTGTGCCACACCCTCCACCTCATATTCCATTCTCTTTTGTGTGCGTGTGTGCGCCAAATCTTCCACCTCAATCTTCCACCTCAGATTTGAGTACTTTCACTTTTTCGTGTGCCACACATTCCACTTTTGTGTGCCGCATCTTACACATCGTCTCGTGTGAGTCCGTTCACTTTTGTGTGCACCACATCTCATCCCACCCTAGAAGAGTACATTCACTGTTTTGATCTTTTTTTGCGCGCGCCACATTTTCCAGCTCATATGAGTATGTTCATTTTTTTGTGCTCCACATCTTCCCAGCATGCCACTCCAAAGCGCCCACACCGTTCACTTTCAAGCAGCACCCTGCAGCGGCACCCCGCAGCGGCACCCTGCAGCGGCACCAGCATGCCTGCTCCAAAATGCAGACATGCAATTTCTCGTATATTAGAAGTAAGAACCCCAATAGCTTCGCTACTTGGGGAAAAATGAAGACGACGAGTAACAAACGGTCTACCCTGGGTGCAATATAAATGGATCGTGGCAGGAAATGTGAAGGTAGAGTTGGGAGCCAAAACATGCTGGACCCAAATGCGGTATGCTGTACGTCTGACCGGATCCCACGAGCACAGCGCGAAAGCGAGCCATGCGTGCAATCTTTGTTGCTGCGCGGGCGCGCTGGGAGATACGACAGCAGGATTGAGCCCTGGAGGCACAAACCAGGAACCGGCACTACCGGATCACCAGCAGGAACATGGCGCCGCTTGAGGGTGACGCTTGGCGGGCATCCTGGTGCTGCTGCTGTCACAGTGGGGTGTGCGCTTTGGAGCGGGCATGCTGCTGGTGGTGGTGGTGCAAGGTCCTGCTGTCAGAAAGGTGTGTGCGCTTTGGAGCCGGCATGCTGGTGTTGCTGCAGGGTGGCGGTGGAGGGTGCCGCTTGAGGGTGACGCTTGGCGGGCATGCTGGTGCTGTTGCTGTCACAGGTGTGCGCTTTGGAGCGGGCATGCTAGTGGTGGTGGTGGTGGCGCAAGGTCCTGCTGTCAGAAAGGTGTGTGCGCTTTGGAGCCGGCATGCTGGTGTTGCTGCAGGGTGGCGGTGGAGGGTGCCGCTTGAGGGTGACGCTTGGCGGGCCTGCTGGTGCTGTTGCTGTCACAGTGGGGTGTGCGCTTTGGAGCGGGCATGCTGCTGGTGGTGGTGGTGCAAGGTCCTGCTGTCAGAAAGGTGTGTGCGCTTTGGAGCCGGCATGCTGGTGTTGCTGCAGGGTGGCGGTGGAGGGTGCCGCTTGAGGGTGACACTTGGCGGGCATGCTGGTGCTGTTGCTGTCACAGTGGGGTATGCGCTTTGGAGCGGGCATGCTGGTGGTGGTGGTGGTGCAGGGTGCTGCTGTCAGAAAGGTGTGCGTGTGTGTGTGTGTGCGCTTTGGAGCGCGCATGCTGGTTGAGTTGGCTTGCTGTTAGAGTGGTGCTGGCTTGCTGGCGCTTCAATGTACCAGCTGTTAGAGTGGCTTGCACGCTTTGGAGCTGACTTGCTGGCGCCGCTGTTTCAAGGTGCTGCTCTTAGAGTGGCGAGTGCTCTTTGGAGCTGGTATCTTTTGCTATCTGGGGTCTGTGCTGGCGTAATTCTCATTCAAGCACTGGATCTATAGTATCTACTGAGATCTAATAAGTATCCGGCAATATATTGTCGAGGTCTTCCAACAAAAATGGAAGCCTACAGGGCCCACATCTTGCAAAACAGTTTCACTTTTGCTGCCTGCTTTGACATCTTGGAGCTATGACATTATGCACTGAAACTCTTTGCGTGTCTTCTTGCTGGACCGTGCGCATGGTGTTAGTTAGTGCTTTGTTAGCTTGCGCCAGTTGTTCCCTAGATAGCGGAAGTATTGAAGTTCTTGCTTCAAGTATAGGACGAGTTGCATGTCTGCATTTTGGAGCGGGCATGTTGGTGTCGCTGCCGGGTGCCATTGCAGGGTGCTGCTTGAGGGTGCTGCTGTCAGAGGGTGGTGTGTGCGCTTTAGAGCGGGCATGCTGGTACCACTGCAGGGCACTGCTGCAGGGTGCTGCTTGAGGGCTGTTGTCAGAGCTGGTGTGTGCGCTTTTGCCGCTGCGGGGCGTTGCTGCAGGGTGCCGCTGCAGGGTGTTGCTTTAAATTTGCTGCTTGAGGGTGCTGCTCGCAAAGTGGCTGGTGCTGCTGCAGGAGTGCCCGCTGCAAGGTGCTGCCGTCAGAGTGCTGGTTCCGCTTCAGGGCGCCGCTGCTTTGGGGTGCCCACGGATTTTTTGCTATCTGGGGTCTCTGCTGGCGGGATTTTTCAAAGAATCAGCCTTGCTTTGATGAAATGGGGCAAAGGATCCTGCGTGCAGGCAACTTGAACAAATAAGTTGTTGCCTAGTGGTGTTTTTGAAATCGATGTAGGTAGATATTACATATTGCATATGTTGATTGTTTCAGCAAGGCTGTTCAGCTGCAAAGCTGCTAGCAGCGGCTAGCTAGATCACTTTGAAACTCGAGATGGGTGGCCAAACTCCGCATTGCTTCAAGACACAGAGGAGTTATTTATGTGCACTGAATTTTTTCCGGTAAATCACGCATTTAGTTGCAAACTTTCCTGGACTCTTGGATCGTTGAATCACTCCGTCTCAACTTTGTTGCAAAAGAATCCTATCCATTTTATATCTGTTTGCTTCCCAATCTGTTGCCGTCAATGATGGAAACAGTTTGTTTGATGATGTTGTGTGTAGTATTTGAAGTTTGATAAAACACTTAGATCACCTTAGATCATCACTGCAATGCAAGAGATAAATTGGTTTCAAGAAACGTTGACTTGGGCAAAAAATCAAAAATGATTAAGAATACATCAGACGCGGTCATGTAAATTGCCTTGAACAGTTGTCCTTCCCGTTGCGGTGAGTCAGTGAGTTCTCCTGTTTGGTTCTGTTTGATATTTTCTGGAAAGAACTTTCAACTTGTCTCCATCTAGAGGCAAGAACTGTCAGCCTTTACACTTTGTAATTATCTCGACAAACCAAGTAAAGAAACATGAGAAATGAAGTCCCTGAAACTTGTACTGAATAATGCGAGCCTCCCAGCCGCATTGGGATACTGTCATTTGTTTTCACCTTCTCAGACTCTGTGATGCAACGCTTGCTCCACGTGCAAGTTGGCGTGGTAGTCAAAATTCATGAATATTCCATCTTGAAGTTATGTTGGAATATGTTGGATTTATTTTAGCCATTCCAGGTTAGTCTGCCAAACAGTTTGGCTTTGAAGTGCTTAAGTTTGAGCTCCCTTCAGGTGACAAAGTTCGGGAGAAGGGCTCTGGCTTTCTACCCTTTGTGCGATATGACATGTCAGCAGTTCCACCACAGATCAAAGGTGGTGATCACATCTATTTGATCTTCACATACTCGGAAGTGGCTCTTGAGGCACAGGGGGACAAAATTGTTGGTGAAGGAACCGAGCTGAAAGGCTCGTGCCTGTTCCGAGCGTGGAGGAAGGATGGCACCAATGCAGTGTTCCAAGATGGAGATTCTGTCTTCTTTGAACACGTTGAAACCGGAAAGTACCTGGAGCTACCCAACGATACTCAGCCTCTTTGCCTTGCAGATAAGAATGAGAGTTCCACTGGCCAGACTTTCGGGTTCTTCAAGCAGGGAAGGCCAATGGAAATGAAGCACCGCGACACCGTTTACCTCCAGTCTTGGTTGCATCACTATGTTGAGTACAGGCAGGGAGCCTTTGGAGGTTTTGCGATCTTTTGCATGTGTCGGTGTCCCAAACAGCCAGCTGAAAACCAAGAGAATGCAACATAACCCAAGGAACATGTATTTTGGATATTTTTGGAGAATGTTGGATCATTTTGGATGTGACAGGTACTTTGAGGATAGCAACTTGTACGCGAAAAGGTGGCAGAGAAGAGAGCCTCAGACACTGACAGTCCTAAAAAAGGCTGTACTGGACTCGACCACCACAGACGTTGCGAGAAGATTCCAGTTCCAGGCCTTTGACTTGGACGGAAATGGCACAATCAGCAAGAGCGATATGGACATGATGCTCACACTCGTCAGAGGAGAGGTCCCAAGCCCGGAAGAGGTGGAAGAGATCATGGTCAAGGCAGACCCTGCGCCTCGGCTGCCTGTTGAATTGTTGAAAAAGTTGTATCAGACTCTCACTTTGGAACTCTTGAAACAAGAATGGTATTGGTTGGTTTCCCTTTTACTCAAGAATTTGAAGATGGCTTGATTGCGTTTGCTCACGCAAACCTGCCTTTGTATGCCTTTGTCATATTTTAATTTTCTCATATTTTCTCTAAGGCTCATACAGGGAACATACCGTTCCAAGCGTTTGCCTCTTGGGCCGATGCTGGGGGCATGACAGAAGAGGAGCTCAACCATGCGGAAGTACTCGGTATTTCGCCGCAAGCAGCAAGAGAATAACAGCAACAAGTGACAGAACTGATGTGAAACTGTGAAACTGTGAAACTGTGAAAACATGAATTGCTCACAACAATATTGTGAACACATATGAAACGAGAGCAGCTTTTTAGATTCACAACTTTGATCCATTCTTACTGGAGGCAATGTTGCGCAGCGATGCAATGATGCACTGTACGAGGAAAAATGCCTTGTTGAAGCGCCAGCCTCAGTAGAGGAAACCAACCAACGAGATGTCATGACCCGGCAAGTTGGACAAGAAGCTCATGGAAGAGTAAATGCAAAGATATTCAAAGTGCAATTAACACCATTTCAAACCATTCCTTCCGGCACATTCATTTCCTGTATGCAAGGTGCTTGGGACGATTGATGGCCGAAACGTCCAGAACATGTGCGGCAAGTACCAAGAAAGCTTGAAAGCAGGCCAAGCGGGGTGACCACAAAGACGCAGAGTGAGATGGTAAGCTCGAACGGTAAGACTCGGTAAGGCCCGGTACAAGACTAGCCTTCGCTATCCTTCGCTATCCTTCTTACTTCGTCAGCTCATGTAGAAACTGCATGAAACTGCCTGACATCTCAGTAACGGTGTCCAAACTCTGAGACAGCTTTAAGTTTATTTCGGGCTAATAATGAGACTTCGGGCTTAACTCACCAGTGCCATTGTTGGCAGAAGGGATGGCTGACCAACGCAGGTCAAGTAGTTGCACTGGATAATGTAGCCCAGCCTTTGAAACCTGAACATAAAACATGACGAGATCAGAGTCCGAATGCTTTGCATAGAGAGAGATGCTAGTCCTGCTGCTTCGCGTCTGAGTCCGCAAGCAGCCACAGGCCGCTCAAGACAGGAGTAGCAGGACGTAGACCAATCAATAGCTTTGACCAGCTATTCACACCCGATACATTACGGAGGTGTTGATCCTATGTTGATGGCACCTTTGAACGTACCCTGGTCTTTGTTGAACTCTTCCAAGCCATATTTTGGCCCAAAGTTGAGCCCATCTTGCTCTTGCCCAAAGAAGCTATAGAAGTAACAACAAATGGGACAAGCTCAACCACTAGTTGACACAACATGCAAGGCTCCCAGATACTCATGGTGAAGTTTGAAGTCTGAAGGTAATCTTTAGCAGGAAAGGACTACAGAGAGTTACAACAACTAATTCTAAAGTTTAGTCCTTAATCACTGACTACCCCATTCGTGTTCCTTCCTCCAATAGACTCTCAATTTAATACTCTCCCGACTTTCACACAGCAGATTTCAAAACTCTGGAGCTAGTTCCCACATTGATCGCAGGCTTTGTCGATAATTGACTCTGGATTCAGCTCCTCTGTGCTTGGATCACTTTTTAACCTGGCTTGCCACCGATTTTTGGTGAGGAATTAAATCCAGAGTTAAGTCCATCCTGGGAGACAGACGTTTTTCGACTATGGTTCGTGCAGCAAGTTGCAATGTTGATTTTTTTTTCACATTGTTGGTGGTGTCGTGGATTCTTTCAGCTTTCAACTTGTTTTGGACAAGATGTCATTGGGCGTTGTTTCAGAAGGCACTGCAATTTGGATTGCTGGAATGTCTAAGATGATCTAAACCTTTTGAGTTCAGCCTGTGGTGGACCAGGGTGGAAGAATCAAACCAAAGTTGATTCTGTTATTTCGGCATCAGACAAAAATCGTCCCAATCAAACAAGTGGAATCAGAACTGAGGTTAAACCCTGGAGAAGATGCTGTATGACTTTGTAATCTTTAGATGGCCTAAGAGTCCTTCTCTTCAAATTCCATTTCTGTGCTTTCGCTGCTCAGAAAGACTCATGTTGTTCTTTCGGGATAGCTTGTTCGTCCCACGTTTCACAATGCTTGTGCAACTTTGGAAGGTGATGTGAGCGAGAAGATAGTTGCAAAGGCTGCCGCAGAGCCACATCCTCAGATGAATACTGTAAAGATCTTTAAATTAGGTTGTTGAGATATGTTGAAATGCATGGCTTTCAAAGAGAATTATGCGCACGTTGCAGAAAAGACAGTCAGATATCCAGTCCAAGTCACAGGTTTAAGGAAGTTCCTTGGGGGGAGAACCTGGTGCCGAAGCTGTAATGCAGTCCTGCAAAAATCTCTGCTTTGCTTAGGTCTGATGGATGGTTTTTCTCCGGGAACTGGAAAAACTGCATGAAAGCGTTGCTGGAGCCAGAGGTGGACCTGTGGGTGCGCTGCCTGAACGATGCTATGGAGGGCTGGGGCACAGATGAAAACTCTTTGACCGCTCTTGTTTGCACTATCCCGGAGCGACTCCGGATTCCCATCTTCAAGAAGTACTACGAAAAGACAGGAAAGGGATTGCTGGAACACATCGAAAGCGACACCTCCTTCAGCTACAAAAAGGCCAGGCAGACTCAGTCAACAGTTGACAAACTGGACCGTAGTATGTGACAGAAGGTGTGGAATGGTATCCGATGCATGATTCCGTGGTCTCTGTGAGCACGTGTCGGTGCCTGCTGGTGGTGGTCGTGGTCGTGGTGGCGGCGTCGGTGGTGGTGGTGGTGGTGGTGGCTGTTGTGGCTGTTGTGGCTGTTTTGGCGCTGTTGTGGCTGTTATGGCTGTTGTGGCTGTTGTGGCTGTTGCGGCTGTTGTGGCTGTGTGGCTGTTGTGGCTGTGGTTGTGGTTGTGGCTGTGGCTGTGGCTGTGGTTGTTGTTGTGGTTGTGATTGTGGTCGTGGTCGTGGTCGTGGTCGTGGTCGTGGTTGTTGTTGTTGTTGTTGTTGCTGGTGGTGTGGTGGAGGTGGCGGAGGTGGCGGAGGTGGTGAAGGTGGTGGTGGTGGTCACCATCGCCTTCGTCGTCGGTTTGAACCATTTTAATTCTTGAACTGGGGCTTGTATCCCAGCCTTTGCTGCTGACCTGCATGTACTTGTGGAGGTTCTAATGTGGCAAGCAATGAGTCCTGAAGAAGCTCGTGCAAAGATCTTGAACAAAGCAATGGTTGGACTTGGAACTGCTGAGGATCAGCTCATTAGGGTGATTTCCCAACTGAATTTTGGCGAGCGGAGAGAAGTGAAAGAGGCTTACCAGCGCATGTTTGGAAAAGACCTGGTCGAGCACATCAGGAGCGAAACATCTGACATCTTGACTTCAAAGGACTTTCAAAAAGCCTTGCTTTGCATGCTCGAGGTGCAAAGGGGGGAACAAACTGTGACAGTGCACTATATACATTGCCGCATATTTTATTGTTATATTATATAGTTATATATATATATATCTATAATATAAGAATCTGAACGTGCGATTTGGAAACCAGCAATTCGAAGAGCGGGTGAAACTGTGTCACTGCTGCAGGCCGAGGAAAAACCATTTGATATTGAAGCAGACTGTGCAGCAATGAAGGAGGCACTGAGCTACTCCACCATGTTCTCACGAGCTCAGATAGACGACCCATGAGATCGGAAGACCTTACAATCTTTGCAGATGTGGGGTATTTTTGTTTGCTCCTATTGTCAGTTCTTGAAAGTGCGGGACAAGGTGGTAGCAGCTGGTAGCAGCTGATAGCACTTCACATGAGCTGTTCTGCTGCATGTTAGTCTTGCTGCAGGCAATGGAAGGCTGGGGCACCGACGAGACCAAGCTGACGCAAATGATATGCTGCAAGTCGCCCCGACCTTGGCATGTAGGCGTCATATGGTGTCATATGGTGTCATATGGTGTCATATGGTGTCATATGGTGTCATATGGTGTCATATAGTGTCATGGATTCATCAGGGCACCATGAAGGTTTCTTTGGTTTCTTGTTTCAGCACTGTTTTTCAACTTTACATCACGAAGGAGACGTTTTTCTGAGGTCAAAGCAGATGGAGGATGTGAATGCCAAGTTCAAGGAATTGTACGAGAGGCCGCTGACAAAAGGGACTAATTGATCACTTCTGTGAGGGTGAAAGTGGTGAAAGCCGTTGCGCAGTAGCGAAAGGTTGCAATATGTTGAAATTGCGTTTTGCTTTCGGCAGGGACTTGCTGGAATGGGTGCAGAGTGAAACCAGCGGATACTACAAAGATACGAGTCTTGGCAAACTTAAGGCAGTCAACATTATATATTTTCAACGATTTGTCAAGACATGACGAAAAGGTGAGAGACTGCCAGCATGTGAATGAAATCAGTCGATAAACGCTCATTCGACTCCATTTGATCTCTCGCGATGCAGTCTAAGGTTGTCTGGATGCATTCGACATCCCATGAAGCAATTGGCCCATGCAGTGCGAGACTGCATGAAGGGGTGGGGCACGGATGATGAGGGTTTGATCACATGCTTGGTCCACTTGGAAGATTTCAAAAAGGAAGCGCTGATCAAGGAGTACAAAGCAGAGTTTGGCCGAGACATCTTTGCAGACATCAAGAGTGACACAAGTGGAGCCTATGAAAGGGCTCTGTGTTCACTCGTCAAGCCAGCACCACAAGTGTGGGCAGAGGCCCTGACCGGCGCGATGAAGGGGCTTGGAACTGCGGACCAGCTGCTTATCAACTTTATGGTCTTGGCCAAGGAAGACATGATGGCTGTCCGAAAGGAGTTCTTCAAAATCAACAATAAACTGCTTGAGGACTGGATCGAGTCCGAGACCAGTGGAGACTACAAGAACACCCTTCTGATGTTGGCTGGGCGCAATAGTGAGGACCGCAAGTTTTAGGTTTGTCACTCGGATCCATTGTGCTGCCTAGGCGTAGTTGAGCTTTTGGTGGACCCATGGGCCGGGCTTTGTTAAGAAAGAGCCACATATCCGAAGAGAGAGCCGCGAAACCAGCTCTTGTTGCTACAGCTCACAGGAGACAATTCCCATTGCGCCGGTTTACTGGGCTCAAAGATGCAAGGACGCTCTGCACAATGCTGCGTACTCAGACTCCTCAGACTTATACTTCTCATATCTTCTCATGCAAAAAGACACATTGCGGCGTAGGTAGGCTGACAGTCTGGCAAACTTTGGTCTCATTTTTCCACTTGCTCTTGATGCTTTTAGGTAGATACCCTCAAAGACGTTCTAGTCACGATGCCTGCAACGGCCATCAAGCGGCACACAGAGCTGTATGAAGCTGTCTACGGAGCTCCTTTGAAGGATGAGGTGCTTCAGAACTTTTATAAAGATAATTGAAGAATATTGAAGACTTGTATAAGTCTGTAGATTTGGTATTTGCTCCCGAGAGGCTTGTATGATTTTGTACATGGTACTGTGTTCGTGGATTTTGTTTCGCAGGTGGAGAAGAAATGCAAGGCAGAAAGTGGCACCTTCTTCATTTTCACAAACTGGTGGAAGCATACGATGGCCACACTTCTCTACATGCCGGTGGAGCTTTATGTTTCATAGCTCAAGAAACTCTGAAAGCCACAGCAACAAAATCAACATCATTCCTAGATGCGATCAGGGTTCCTCACAGAAAGGTGCGGAGATTTGTTTAAAAATTATGTCGACTACAAAGGTGTAGACAGATCGAAGCAAAGCAGTAGCTAAAGCTCCAAACAGAGCGCAACCACTTCATCAACCAGTATCATTTGCGCAACAGTTGTGCGCATGCATGCATTTGCCATATGCCTCTCTCTCTCTCTCTCTTTCTCTCTCTTTCTCTCTCAACATGTCCTTGGCAGGCAGCCCGTGTATTTCTGGCGGTTTCCTAGGTACGAAACCTTTGGGATGCGATGCATGGATGGGGCACTGATGAGTACACCCTCACTGGTTTGGACCCCTGTCTGCATTTGAGCGGGTGCCAAAGCTGCCAGACGTGTCCAAGTGTTCAACTGCAAGACGCTCAATTTCACAGTTTTGAATCTCGCAGTTTTCCTTGTTTTCCACTGGAGCGAGGAAAAAGGCTTTGCACAGATTTGTTTGGAAGCAGATGTTCAGCATGCTGTACTGTGCCGTTTTCAACCTAGAGCTGCGATTAAACCACTTTCATCAACCCCCAATTTGGCAGCCGACATACCTGAAGGTGTGCACGCTTCCAGAAAATCTGTATGACGAGATTCATGGGCTCTATGAGAAACAGCATGGCAGGCTTGAAGAAGTTGGCTGTATGAAGTGTGGAGTTGCAAGGATTTCGAGACACATTTGATCATATTTTTGTAATTTTTTGTAGATGTTGTAGGGTCTTGCGGTTTTTCGTTCTGACAAACAAATTCCATTTTCACACGGTGAGCTTTTTTGCCTAGCGCCAGACTTCATGTTTTCATGTTCTCAGATCTTCGATTTTACCGCTTCATCCCATGCAGTGACTATACGCATACGCTAGAGATTCCTTTCTACTTTTCCTTCCCTTTTCTGGGTTGATGTGTGGTGAAAGGCAGTTGAAAGCCTGTATATATATATATAATTATTGTATAATTATAATATATATATATATAATATGTCCTTCTCTGTCAAAGTCACCAGTCCATTCCATCAATTCAGCTGCATTCCCGCGGATATTGCAATGTACTTGCTTCACAATGTTTTGTGTCTTCCTTGTATTTTGAGCCAAAGTTGTTGGTTTTCTTTTGTCAAACGGCGCAAAGACGGTTCTTAGACCCGAAAACGATTCTTCAAGTGCAGACCAATGATTGTTCAATGCATGCTAAAAAGATTGTGGCTTATCCACGGACCGTCCAGGAAGCTGGTAGATCACATTGCCTCTGAGACTTCTTTCAGCTACAAGAAGGTTCTTACATACCAGGTGCGCAAAAGACAGCATGTCCAGCACAGCATGTGCGATCACATGTCATCATGCAATGAGGTCACAGATTCGGAACGGACACTTTGCAAACTTTGGCCGATTTGTGTCGTGTTTCTGCCTGTTTCTGCCTGGACAGCCAATTTGAACGCAGGCCATGAAGTGGGCCGAAAGTCGTGCGACTGCTTTGCATGGCGCAATGGCTGGTTGGGGTACAGCCGAAGATCAGCTGATTCGAGTCATCATTTGTGCAAATTTCAAGGAGAACGGGGGGTCTGCTAACTCCGTGCAGCTGACAACCCAAAAAGAGAGGTACAACAGAGAGAGAGAGAGAGAGAGAGAGAGAGAGAGGAGATAGGGAGGGAGATGGATATGGAGATGCAGAGTGGGGGGTTCTCTTTGATTCTCTTTGCCAATCCCATCAGGAGCGACAAATCATCCAGGAAACCTACAAGCGGATGTCTTGCACTCAGCGATCAAGCAAAAAAGATCCAAAAGCAGGTTCAAGCTCGCATGCTCGTGTGAAACAAAGTCTCCAAATCCAGCACTCTAGCTTGTGAAGTTCTGCTCCGTCCCAAGGTTCAACAAGGGTTTGATTGCACACATTGAGTCCGAAACCAGCGGCAACTTCAAGAATATCCTGGTGGCTGTTTTGAAGTGCACTCATCCTAAAGCATCTGTTGACTACGACAAAGATTGTGAAGACTTGAAGGCAGCAATGGATGGCTTGGGCACCAACGAAAAGGCTATCATTCAGATTGTGGCCGGCAAGACCCCGCAACAAATCGAAACACTGAAAGCCAAGTACCAAGAGAAATATGGAGAAGACCTGTACGCCAGGATCGATGATGAGACCTGGGACTGGGGCATGAGTATGTTTTGTGGTGCAAATTTCCGTGCCTGCATGCTGGGATTGATGCGTGAGCCCACAGAGAGACTGGCCTGTGCAGTCCGTGATTGCATGGTCGGCTGGGGCACCGACGACACTGGCTTGATCACTCTTTTGGTGCATCTTTCAGAACGGCAACGCAGGGATTTGGTCTCCAAATATTGCGATATCAAAAATGGTGGGGACCTCTACAAAGCCATCGAAGCTGACACGAGTGGTGACTACAAGCGGGCTTTGCTTGCCTTGGTGAAACCACCACCTCAAGTCTGGGCAGAAGCAATCATGAGTTCAATGAAGGGCTTAGGCACTTCGGACAATTTGCTGATCAACTGGATGTGTCTTGCAAAAGAGAGGATGGATGAGGTACGTGAGCACTTCACAGCTTTGGACAATCGAGGATTAGCTAAGTGGATTGATGGCGATTGCAGCAACGCTGACTACAAGGACTACACCGTTGTGAGGAAAGCTACACCTTTCTGAGTGTTTTGTTTTTCCCGTGGATGAGCATCATCAAATTGACTGTCAAAGTAATGTGGAGTGCCTCCTGTACACGAGTCTAAAGGAGCAGAAGGAAACCACATAACCAACCACACTCTTTCACATGTTCAATTTTCCTGCACTACATTTCACTCCATGCCACGAGCGTGACCCGGCAAGACACCCCAAGTTATGCCGTCATATGCTGTCAATTGTCATCCGTCTTATCAGGATACTCTTATCCGTCTTGCGAATCGCCGATGCGAACGATTTTCTGGCCAAGAGGTTGGCCTCAGCATTGCACCACCCATCTCGAAGGAAGACGCAGCACTGTACTTAGATGACTTACATGACTTGCATGGCTTGGATGTATGATGTGATAGATTATACGTATATATATATATATATATATACACAGTATGTGTGTATATATATATATATACATAATCATAAGTCTGATTGCAGATATAGACAAAGCAACGAGATGGACCAATCAAGAGTGTGTAAGATTGTTCTAGTCGTAATGCCGATCAAGCCAAGATCCTCAAGTTCACGACGACATTCAACAAGCTTTGCAAGCGCCGAAAGCAGAAAGGGGACAATATTATCCCTGGAGAGGAAGACCAACAGGACAGAGTTTGTCACGGAGACGAACGAACAGAGTTTTTCTTGGATATTTGGAATACCACAGCCAACTAAAGTTATATTACTCATATTTAAATCTATATCTATATCATGTGATTCTGCTATATATATATATATACATACGTATAT